CAACTCTGTTAATTAATAGTTAATATTAGTTTGTTTTTTTTTTTAATTGAAAATGAAAAAATAAATGGTATGTAATTCTTGTAATTAATACCTATAATATTCATAAGTATATATAAGTAACTTAAATAATGTATTAGAAATCGTCTTTAATACCATCTGAATCATATTATTAATAAGACAAAAAGAAAAGAAAAGAAGAAGATGATACCAACTGGATGCGGTTTTAAACCCCACTAAATATAAATTTAATGGGTGATTTTTTATGTATTTTGTTTTAAATTTTGCACAAAAAAGTAGAAAAACATGAAAATTACCGGATAACTCTCATTTAAATTAATAAATCAACTGTTGTCATTAAATTTTATGTGATGAAGACTATGGGGCTGATCGTCTATCACGATATTTTATTCGGCAAGTGAGAAGAAAGTCATATGTAAGAGATTTATTTCGTCTTTTCTAAAAGAATATATTGTAAAGATATTAAATCATATAAGCACGGAGGTCATATTGACATATCCGAAGCCTTGCTCACTGAATTCTTTCTCTCAAAATCAAGTTTGTTTAGGTCTCAGTTACGTTACTAATAAATAACCTTAAAACAATTTAATCCATTTGACATTGACAATCAAAGTGTCGAAAATATAAACTCAAAAATCACTCTCTAGTTTTAGTAATTTATCAATTTGCTGTATAAATGAACTCTTTAATACCACAATTATTGTCCCACCAAAATGAAGAAAAATTATTAATAGTTTTTTTTTTCAATTCAAATCAATAATTTGTTTTTAAAGTTTTTTAAGTCTTCCTTTATAAAAAATAAATAAATTGTTTTCTAAAATGTTGAGTAAAAAAATATTAACAATGAATATTTTTATTTGTGTTTCGACTCAATGAATCTTCAATTGTGTTTATTGTAAATAATAATTGTGTACGTATTTATGTATGATTCATATATTTAAAAGATAAAAAAGTCCATAAATATTATTAAAAATATTGAATATTGGGTACGATAAGTTTTTCTTTTTAAATTTTTATTCAACTGCTTCAAGAGTTTTATTTCATAACTCTGTACACATACATACTATGATAGATGTTATGAAAATGTCTCTATATTTATGTTTAAGAGGTTAATAAAATGTTGCATAATAATTATTAAGTACATACATACACATTTTTTGTATAGGTTTAGTTGTAGGCTTTTGTATATTTAATAATAATATTTCAATACTTGTTTTATAATAAAAAGCAAAAGTTTTGTTAATAACTCCAAAGATTTTTAAATATATAAGAAACTATGATTAAAGTGTATTTTGAACAAGATATTGATAAGTAATATGAGATTTGTGCAAAAATTCATAATGGTATAAGTATCGTTGTCCGATAGTCAGGAAGTGAAAATACCGCCTTTAACATTACAAAACAATTGCACATAAGATTTTTTTAAGAATACTTGCAGGTAAAAATATGTTTGTGCTTCAATTTTTCAAAATAATAAAAATATTTTTTAAATTAAAATATATTAAAACTGTCAAAATTTAAAAATTCTATTATTTCCAGAAACAAATTATCTCCTAACATTGAAATTATTTTGTACGAATAAGAGTCAAATAAATGTTTATTAAAGACATAATATTTCAAATTGTCCATAATTTAGATCAAATCATTAGATATTACTTCATATTTAATCTAGAACATTATAGAGAAGCAGACTGAAGGTTAAATGAATTTTTAATAAGGAAAGTTTACATTTATTGTAATATTATATTTAATCAATTCTTACATTAGAATACGAAACTGATCCGAATTAACCGTCGTTTAGTTTATCAAATAATTACATTCTAGTTTATTTCTGGACTACGTTCTTTAATTCCACAATTTGACAATCTCAAGTTAAACTGTTTGGTATGACTTTAAACGTTTAATTTATACATGATTTTTTCAAATTATTTAATCAAATTGTTTGAGCGTCTGTAAGGAACTCAATTCTAAAGAGAAAATATTTCTCTCTCTCTCTCTCTCTCTAATTTTCAAACAATAGTACTAATTACTAATTTTTTGTATTCTCATTTTATTCTCTACCTCTTAGGGAACATAGTTTTCAACTTATTAAGTGAGTATTACATTTTTCGAATTTGGTATTAACATATGGAGTACTACTCGTAACTTTACTTAATTCAAGTGGTCAATAATCATTTTAAGTGATTAAATAAATATAAATTGTTATATTAAATATAATTTTATTCTAATTTAATAATCTATAAAAAAAAATTTTATAACTTCAATATTTTACGTTATAATATAATAATTATGTTATTTTTAAGAATTATGAGTACTAATTATAATTTATTTTAAGTTTGATATTGTTCTGGTTCAATTTAATATGAAATTATTTGTGTGGAAATAATCAATGAAATTAGAATTCAAATATAAAATTAAAGGAAAATTATAAAAATTTTTTATTTAATTAAGAAAATTATTATTTAATTTAGCTATTTAAAATTAAATAAAATCATTTAATTTTATTTTTAAATGAGAATGTAGATGGCATACCTATGTAGATGGCATAGGAATGTAGATTATTATCATATGAAATAATTAGATATAAATTGAGAAAAAATATATCCCTGTGTTAATGAAAATTTCATTAACACTGTAATATTAATACACAATTCAGCTTATAAATTTTTATTGCTGGATTCTGTATCAATATAATATTAATGTAATCACGGATATTTAGTTTCTTGAATATGATTTAATTGTTTATAGAAAATTATAATATACACATACTTAAATACTATTATATAAAATTAATTTTATTATTTAAAAAAAAATGTGCTCGTACACTACTACGTTAAATATATTAGTACTCGTACAATAATTATACTTAATATTATTCTGTATGCATAAAATATACTTAACATTGAATATTTAAAAAAAAAAAATATATATATATATATATAATTTAAATTTTATACTTAATCCATATAGTTTTATGGAATGTTGTCGAAGATTTACTATACTAAATACAATAAAATCATATAAATTTTCTCTAAACAAATTACAAAAAAAAAAAACAAAAAAGAAATATAAGAAATATATAAATATTATACAAAAGTATATAATAGTATCGCTATATACTAAAATTAACAATATTATAAATTAAATAAACTAAAATATAATAGTAATAGTTTTAATATATAAACAAATAATTATTATTCGAACACTTTATAAATTTTTAAATCTATATTTACAATCTAACACATATATAATAATTATGTTCTAATTATATAATCGAAATTTGTAGATTTCATTATCTATTTTATTATATACTTATTTGTTTTTTTAAATTTACGTTATGTACATACGTTAATATGAAAAAATAATAATTTTTGTTTTTTTATGTTTAGTAATCAATATAACAATAATTCCTTGTTCTATTTTTAATTTATAAATATACGTCTTATAATAATTATTACATACCATAATGTTTATTAAATTATATTTCTTATTATAGTATTATTATTATTGTTGTATATTTTAATTAATTTTTAATATAGGGTGCTTTTATGATTAAAAAAAAATATTATTGCTTAATATTATTTGAAAATGTCGTATAAAATTTCATCAGATTTGAAGAATTGAAATTGCGGCAAAGAATTTGTTTTAGTTTTATAAAATTTAAATAATTAATTATAATTTATGTAATTAATGTAGTAAGATTAATCACAATTAATTATGATAAAATTGGTATTAAATCACATTTAATGTATTCCAAACAAAAATAGATTAATTTTAACAGGTTTTTAAGTAAAACAAGAGCAAATTTTACAATAAATGCATATTTTCACTTAAAAATGTAAATTTTCTTGGATATATCATATTCAATATCCATTTTGGATATTGAATATTCAATTTATTTTTGGAATATCTCTTCTCTACAAATAAATTAAGGCTTACGTATATTTAATATAAGAAAATTGGACTATAAAACCATGCTTCTTGCTTTTTCTTATTGCCTTATTTTCTCTTATTATTCGCTCTTATTAACTATATCTTATTCATCTTCAAAAGTCAAGCCTGGTTCAAAACTAGCTCAACATGGGTAAACGAGGAAAACATGGGCTAAGTTGAACTGGTTTTTCTCTTAAATATTAACTGATATCTTAAAAATTAAACTGAACTAAATTTTCTGATATATTCGCGAAATTTGATTAATTGAATGTAGAAAAGAAAATAAAAATCATTAGTGTAAAAATAATTACAAATTTCAGAAGATCGCCATAAACTGTAGCCATTTTTGCTACTGACATTAACAAATTTAATTAATATTGCATTTATTTCAATCCCTTTTCTTAAAATCATTTTATTAGGCGGGCACACCCTGTTAATTTATTTTCTATACTCATAATATTTAAATTTACTAATTGAGTTGTAAAGAATGTTATAATTTATTTTTCTATTCCTTCGATGAAATTATCCATCTTATGGGCTTCTTCATTCCTATATATAGTATATATTTTAGTAAATGTTATGTATGTATGTGTATATACCTAAAATAAAATATTAAATATATTAATTACTATTAAAAAAATTTGAAATTATTTCTTTACCATTTTTTTATGTATATATAAAAAAATTTCAGTCTATTTAATCTTAAATGCTTTACTTATAATATGTAAAAATTTTATGGTGATAATTACGCTTCTAATTAATTAATAATCCTTAATCCTTGAATTTATTTATTAATTAATTTTTCGTTAAAAATTATTAATATTTTTTGTTTTAATTCAAAATTCATCCATTTTTAAATTTCAAAACAAATATGGTGGCGCTGATGACCTCGTTTATTAATAATTTCTTTCTTTAAATAATTATAACCCTTATTTTTGTTTCAAATAAATCTTTATCAATTTCATCATTCGGATTATTTGATATATCTAATATCTCTAATTTTTCAATAATATCTAATAATTCTTTTGAAAAATTCGTTTTATTTGTACCCTGTAGTACTAATTTTTCTAATTTATGGATATCTCTAAGGGCATTCGGTAATGTTGTATAGTTCAAAGGGTTAAATGACAAGTCCAATGTTATCAATTCTCTAAATGGTTTTACAACATATTTAGCATTTTGTAGTGAATTATTTCGTATTTCTAAATATTTTAAATCGGGTGATTTGAAATTTTTCGGTGATATATCTTCAATTTGATTACATGTTAAATTCATTATTTCAATGGCACCATCATATTGAAATTTTTTTAATTTACATGAAACAGCTTCAAAATATTTAATATAATTAAATTTTAATGTTAATTTACCATCTGTATCTTGTCCAATTGGATTCTCTGATATATTTAAATATTGAATTGATTGTATTGTATCGAATATTGTTGTATCAATTAATTTTATATCATTTTTATGTAAATCGATTTCTTCTAATTTTATACAATATTTAAATAAATTTTTTTCTAATATTCTTATTTTATTATTTGATAAATTTAATTTTCTTAAATTTGGCAAATTATCAAATATACCCAATTTTAATTCATTTATTATATTATTTTTTAAACTAAGTATATATAATTTTGACATATTACTAAATAAATTAATATTTAATGTTTTTATTTGATTATTATCAATATATAAATTTTCAATATTATAATTTTCAATAAATATACCATTTTCTAATTTATCAATTAAATTATATGATAAATTTAATAATTTTAATTCAATTAATGGATTTAATAAACCCAATTTTATTTCATATAATTCATTATTTGTTATCGATAATAATTCTAATTTATTTAATTTATAAAATGGATTATTATCATATGTTGATATATGATTATTATCTAACCATAAATTTTTAAGGTTAGGTGTTTTAACAAATACAGCATTTTCTAAATGTGTTAAACCATTATGTTGTAAATATAAGTTTTTTAATTTATTTGCCATACTAAAACTAAAATTATTTAATCTTGTTACATTTTGATTGACAACATATAAGGTTTCCAATTGTAAAAATATTGTAAATAATAATCTTGGTATTATTTGTAAATTTGAATTTTCGATACGTAATTCCGTAATATTGATGTATTGATTTTGTTCATTTTGATTTTTAATTGATAAGAATATATCAGATTTATCGTTGCCAGTTGTATCAGAATTTAATCGACGGCATATTGAATTGGCGCAAACATCTTCAACAAAATAATAGCGTGCATTTGTTATATTCAAAAGATTAATAAAGATTATTGATGATATTATTAGAGCAGTTTTATTAATCAAATAATTTTTGAATTTCATATTAATTTTTTTTTGGATTTTGATTAAAATTATGTAAAAATAATAAAAAAAAAATAAAATAAAAAGAAAGTTTTAGTGTTTTTTTTGTTTTTGCATATAAAAATCACGCCGATATTTTCACGTTTTCTATAAATTTTTTTTTTTTCGTAATTTAATGATTATAGTTTGAATATGATGCTTTTCCAAACAGCGATTGTTGTATACTAATCTCGTTAATTTTAATTACTCTAATTTTTAATATATTGATATGAAAATATATTTTATGTATAAAAATGTGTGTTCGTGGGTATACGTGCACAAAAGTAAGTCTATTTTATAAAATTTTTATTTTTTTTTCTAATTTTTTTTTTTTTTTTTTTTTTTGAAAATTTAATACAAGTAACCAGAAACGTTTTATTTAGTTCAAATTCAACGTATACTAGGGAAGATTAAAAATATTTTGATTCTTTTTTCGTTGCTTTTTCAAAAAATTGTAAAGATTTAAAGCTATATAAAAAATTGGTCTAGAAAATAAAATAAGAAAAAAAGAAATTAAATAAGAAATCGAATTTTAAAACAACTGATAAAATTTTTGGAGGTATTGTGTTGGGATGATTAGGTTTTTAGGGTGAGTTTTGAAAATATGTACAAAAAATATTTTTGACATTTTAAGTGAACTTTTAATTTTTGTCATATACGCGACGCTCTGAAGCTTTCAAAAGTCAAAATAGATGTTTCATTACGTTCATCTAATTGTGATAATTTTCGACCATTTAAATGCTTTTGTTTTCGATCTCATTTAGGTGCATATTGTCATTTTTTTCTGTGAAAATTCTGTTTATGGTTAACTTAAAATCTGGTTATGGTCAATAATAAAATTTTCGTTGAATATTGCCAGCTTTTCATATATAATAGTTTACAATCAAGCCAATGATTTGTGAAGAAGCTATTTTCCATTGAGCAAATGAAAATTATATTTTTAAAAATCTACTAACAATATTGCATATTTTTAGGATGAGCAATGTGAAACATGCTAATGACATCCTATTGATTTGTTGGGTCTGATACGGTGAGGTAATTCTATTTCATTTAAATGGGGCTGCTCTCTAAAAATGTATCCCTTCGAACGGGGAGGGGGGTAAAATAGGTATATTTTAAAAATGGGCTTTTTCACTACTTCAAATTACTTTTATAATATTATGTATTTTTGTAATAGTTACGGCATTGATCAATTTGGGCCGCTATTTGATTTCAAATATTTGATATTTTCGAATTTTAAAAATTTGACTTCCTTACCCAAAAATTGCCCTATAATTGCCAGGATTGAGCCAATTTTCATACTGATTTTCTGAATATTATTTTTGTATTTTCATATTCGTAATTTTCATATGTATATGTACATAAATACGTATATATGTATATTTTTGGTTTTCTTATTTTGAAACAATGCTGTTGATAAGAGCCTCAACGAATGCTGAGAGGTTAAAAATTTAACAATAATATTGATATTGAAATTCAATAGGTATAGTAAAAATTTTCTGCTACTTGTAGTATTTTTTAAATTTTTTTTTTTTGCTTTTTTATTTTTGTATTTAAATATTATTTATAGATTTTTCGTTTCAATTTAAATTTTAATAGTACGCTGAACAAAATAGACTGGGTGCAATCGCAATGTAAATATTACAAATAGTCTACTTTAAGTATTTAGTTCAAAATATAGACGTGGATTTATAGTTTCAAAGAGAAAGAAGAGTGAATGCAACGAATTTGTTATTTTTGTAATTGAAATCAAAAACTATGTCAAGAAATCTAATTTAGTAATGTTGTTATTTCCACTACATAGTATATGAATTCTTCGTAACTGTAGCATTTTAAAATTTAATTTTGATAGGTTAAAGAAATTTTTCACAATTGTGAAATATAATTGAAAATATTGTGAAATTTGTAAGTTGTACGAAAAATATAAAATTTATTTGCATTTAAAAGCATTTAACACATTCATATTGGGATATCTGAGTTCGAAATTCGTACAAGCGCATAGTTTAAAAATTTTAAAAGCATAATTTTTCGATGGGAAAAAATGATAAATAAAAAAATTGGTTTAGACACAGTCCAAAACACGATTTTAGTGGGAACAACACAGAATGGTTTTGACTTTCGACTCTCATACATGGCAAAGTTGGTTTTGTTTTTGCAGCATCATAGTGACTTGGGTTAGTTTTTTTAAATATTTGAAACATTTTTCGGAAAATGGACTAAAGGTCCAGGTTACACCAAAACATGTGTAATACCTCCATGTACAATAAAAATCTCTTGGTGATAACCTAAATGTCTCTCTATTGTTTCTCATTACAATAGCTTTTTGTATCGCTTCTGCCTATAGTTTTGCAGACGCGCCTTAGCTTAACCCCTTTTTCGAATTTTTCTCAATACTTCTGTTGATTGATTTCACAAAATCGAACAATTCTGACTTTTTTCTGACGGGTTCTCCAAACGCTTCAACCAAGTGAAATTTTTCCCGAAACTGTTCCTCATTTTTATGTGCCTTCTTCTAATATTTACGCGGATTTTTTTTTTCATATTATTTTTCAGTTTAATTCAGACTCTTAGAAAAAATTCTCGAAAGAGGTGTAGTTGACGATATTTTACATGTAATATTACGTGATTTATTTATTATAAATTGAAAAATTTTCCAGTTACATTTGTTGTTTGAACATTGAACTTTGCTTGTAATAAATCTGATAACAGTACTATTACACCTATCAACAAGACTAATTAAAATTACAAAATTTTCTATTGAAATAATGGCTAGTATATCTGTCATCTTTATCAAGAGAAAAGCAGAGCTTAATCCAAAAATAGAAACAAATAATTAAAATATTAAATGAAATTTCATATTTCAAAATTTTCAAGTTATTAAAAAAATTTCATACTTATTTCTATGTAAATTCGTTTGAGGTCCCCATTTAATTGTTTACTTTATAAAAAATTCACTAAGTACACCGAAGAATTAAGGGGTTAATTAACAATTTCGTTATAGAAATGTTGATTAAATGACTTGACTGTGTATTAGGTGAATAATTTTAACAATTAAAATATATTTATAACAACCGGATTGCGGGAGACAGTAAATGAAAATATTAGATTGACAGAACATTAGTTGCATTTACAGTAGTAATTTGACAGATAAATATAGTAGTTTGACGGTGTATTATCTGACAAATGTAGTAATTTGAGAGTTCGTTTTGCATACACATGTATATGAAAATTTAATGCGAGTGACTTTTAAATTATATAATCAATGGAATCACTTTCCTTGTATCATTTTTATGCAAATAATCGTACACTTCAAGTTTTATAATCTGCCTGTTTTATATCTCGCTTATTGAGCAAACAGACATGTAATTTTTAGTTTGCAACTGTTTGATTGCTTATATGAATTCTATATCATACAGTTCTGTATGATCGTATGCAATTAAGCAATCAAACTGTTTGTTATTTTTTACATGGTCTGTGTGAGCCTTTACGTGATTCTTAAATTCTATTCAGCTTAGACAAAAATTTCTAAATTTATTTATACATATTTTTTTTTGAATCTCGATTTTATATTTGGGAATTAAAGTCATAACGCCATTCAGACTTATTATGACATATATATATATATGTATGTAAGTATTTAATTAAGTATTAAATGCAGTGGCGCCTTACGTTTTCGCAAAGTGTAAATAATTTTATTTCTATATTATAATAGCAAAAACTATTATAACTCGTATGTAAAAATGTTATAATAATATTTATAATCAAAGTTTCTAAGATTATTAATGACCGGAAATCATGATAAACCTTAGCGTCGTTTTATTTTTTTAACTCCATCGCATTGAATAAAACAAAAACAGAAAAAAAAAATTCTAAATTCAAAATATACGAGTGTAGAATTGTAACACAATTCACACTATCAATCGGGTTTGTTTTTTACGCATAAGGTCTACGTGCTTACATTTTTCAAATTTATATTTTGTATATCAAATGGAAAACACATATATCGTATTCGTACGGAAAATCTGTTTAATAACGATCTGTAACTGTAAATTTTTTTTTTTGTAAATCATAACTGTTAAAGTGTTATTTTAAGGCGTTCATAAATTTTTTTATTTACGTTTTTTTAGCAATTTGTTGTTTAATTTTCTGTGTTTTTTTTTTCTTAATTGTTTTGGCTATTCGACTGATAATTTTGTTATAAAAATAAAAGAATAATAAATGAAGTTTTTTTTTAATAAAATACCCTTTAACTGATATTGAAACGTCATTTTGAAATTGTCAATAAAATTATGCAAAAAATGAAGTAAACAAAATAAAAAATAAAGAAAACAAAAACTTAAAGAGAAATACGAAATTTCCAAAAAGAAAAAAATATGAAAAAGGTGAATGGACGACAACTTAAGTGATTCAAAACACCGAAATAAACACCATTCAACTGTAATTGAGAAGAAAACAGAAACAACACATAAACAAGAAATCAAAATAAAAGTGAAAATAGAAACTAATTGGTCCGACCTACTTTGAGGAGCGTTGTTTTTTTGATACGTCAAATGACACCCATAAAATTAATACATACAAATTGCCCTTATGAAAAGGTAAAATGGTAGAGATCTAAGATCATAGATAGAAAGTAAAATATTCGACTTGGCTACTGTATTTCGGTAACAATATGTAATGTATTATATGTATTCAAAGATTGCCTTAATAAAAAATTTTTTTGTGTTATTTTGTAGAGAAAAATGAGTTCTATGAGTTCTATATGGATTATCTTTAAAATTACTATTGGATTTCGGGTTTCTTATAAACCGATAGTCTTGCACATTTGATTCAATTTGTTTCAAACCCTTTTGAAATTGGTAAGTGATATTAAGGGTTTGATTATATGGATCTCGCTTTTTTTACTCGTCGAGTGACAAGAAACTGAATGAGTATTAAATGTTTGTAAAATGTAATTTTTGAGTGAGGAGAATTTGTTTGTATTTCGTATATCGTTTTTCCCAAAGCCTATAAAAAATTTAATTATCATTAACTTTGTTTTTCAAAATGAAAAATTCCGTCGATCTCTTATATTCTCCCACATATATAAGAGAATTTAGTAGAAAATATTATTGGCAAAATTATATATGTATCTATTTGAAAAAACCCAAAATTCTGACTTGAAAGTAAATAAAAAATTATTAAAAAGGTGAGTAAAATATCTTTCACGAAATTGCAAAATAAAATTTGAGTATTATGAACGAAAAATGACATGTATACAATAATATTACAAAATATTTAGATTTACAATCATAAAAATAAAGTGGCGTTATAAAACGTAGTAGCGCATAGCGCTTACGAATACGAGTAAAAAATTTGCCGGTATTAAAGAAAAAAAAAACAAAAGAGATGAAATTTTCGCAACCCACGTACATATTATAATTAATTGCGAATGTCATGCGATGGTCAACAATTTTTATTAGTGATTTAAACAAATTACGGTAAAAATTGGTTTTTATTATTAATTTTAATGTTATAATAAAATAAACATTATGTTTTACTATAATTGGGTAACAGATGGCGCTTTTGAAAATAAATTAAGTCATTTTGTGTGAGATAGTGAGGCATACTTTAACACATATGCATACATATGTATGTATGGATAAGTAAATTATTTTTATATACATATGTACATATTTGGTCTTCGAAAACAAATAATTAATGTAAACTATTATAATTATCATATAACAAAAATAAATATATATGTATGTACGTAATGTAAATAAAAATTCGTATTACGAATTGAAATAGTTGGTGTTAATAGATTGCGTTATTTTTGGAAAAGGTTGCCGTAATATTGTAAATTAGTTAGAATTAATTTTTTTTTTTTGCGAAAAGTAGGTTATTGTTTAAAAATTAAAATTCTCTTAAAAGTCTTATACAAATAATTTGACTAAAGTTTTGAGTTTACCAAATAGTATTTAGTAAAACTGCAATCATAGAATTATATATTATTGATGTACAATAAATACCCTGGTAATTGCATTTTCTGTATCTAGCTGTTGTGTCAAAACCGGTTTCATCTTTCCCAATTAATTCTTAAAAATAGATTTTTGATTTTAACAGTGAATTAACTTTTTGAATAATTTCTGATCTTGTAATTTTAAAAGATTTTCCAAATCAATTTTTCTTTCCGGAAATATGAGAGTCAGTCGCATTCAAGGAATTATGAAGTACATATTACAGCCTGCACAAACAATTGGACTGATTCGATATTTAAAATAAGGGAATAAAAAAATGTTTCTGTTAAAATATTTTGAAAACATTTATGAGTTTGTCGTTTTCGAAATTTGCTCACAGGTTTTCTAGTGTTGTAGCGACTAAATAGCTTTAGTATATGATACAAATTTCATTGGACTGACATTTTAACCTTTATTCACTATATTAGTTTGAAATAAAAAAAAAATAAATATTTTTTTTAAAATTACCATGTTTTTTTTTATAATAATAAATTGACTTCTTTATATTTTGAATGCGTTCGATTATAGGTCAGATAATTGGCTGTTTTATTTTATTTTACTAGATTTTTGGCTTTGATAACCTATACATATTTTGAATTAGCTTAATAACAAACTGATTATATTTAATATTTTATAGAATTTAATTTATATTATTAATAAGAATGTAATTAACATGAAAATAAATTCCCTGTAGAATTTGTATAAATTTTTTTTAATTTGAAATAGATTTTCTCGGATCAGTTCAGGTTATTTTGTCTTTAATAATTAAAAGTTGAATTCGTGTAAGTATTCGTTATGTTAGTAAAGAGATATGTTATTTAAAAATGTACGCAAATTTACTAATAACATCCATACCTTTAATAAGAGCTGCACGCATTGACATTGTTATCTGCATCTGTTTTAAATACTGACTGAAACCTCATTTTGAAATTGTCAAAGCAGTAATGCAAAAATGAAATAAACAAATTAAAATTTTTTAAAAAATAATTAGTACCGAAATTAGTCGCTAATCATATAGGTTCCGGTTGAAGTGATGGAGTTTTAGCGGTTAGAAGGTATTGCAAATTATAAAGTGACGAATATGTTCATTTCTAAAGCAAAATTTTGGTTTATTTGGTTAAAAGAAAAGGAATATGAGTTTGTAGAAAAAAAAACTATCGTTGGAAAAATATTCTATCCTCGATTTAAAGACCATTAACGCTGTTTGGACTTTATTAAGGCATGATCTTTGTTCAAAATCTTAGCTCTTTCTTCTGTGCCGGTATAGGATAACAAAATAATTGGAAATAAAGGAATAAATTTATTATTCCTATATTATTTATAGGAATAAATTGGAAAAACAGGAACAATAGGAAAAATAATTGGTAGAAATTTAACATAAGTTTCTTTTTACTTTATATAGGATAGGTGCCGTAAATAAATTTGATAATGCAGTATTGTATTGTAGTGAGAGCTTTCAGGTAATAGTTTAGTAAATTAGCCTTAAAATTGTAATTGTTTAGCATCATTAAATTGTAGTTTGGAAATTGAGAAATCCAGATGGTGATTTTTTAGAGGAGCGTGTGAAAACGTTTAATGCTTATAATATATTACATTCGAAATTGTAACATGATGAGTCAGAAAGAGTAAAATTATCAACTTAAACTATAATAAATTGTTGAAGAGTCTACCTTCACTTCAATGTTAAAGAAATTCATTCTATTCTATTTTTCTTTAATGGAGACTTTCTCCTTGCGGAATACATATTCATTTTTTGTATTTAAAATTATCTATGTATTTAAAATGTTAATCTAAATGTCTTGTTAAAGATCACCTTTAATTTTAATCAGAAAGTTCAAGTTGAATACAGTTTTATAATTGATGACTTAATTTCATTATTGCATAAAAAAACTACGTGCATATAAAAATTCTTAAAAAACCAAGATTTCTTGGAAGATTTAAAAAATTTTTGAAGGTCTTCAATGTTGCTTTGAATCTCTATAAGTACACAATAAATTACAAAATATTGTAAACATAATATGAAAGAGATCAGATGACATTTAACAACGTTAACATTTAGTAAATAAGATAAAAGTCTCGTTTGTCGTCTGAAATGTGAACTCATAAATCATATGTTTACAATTATTGAAGTTTACAAATGTCAAGTATAATAGGTTATAGTTATATCTTTTATCATAATGTGTATCGTGTATCAAAAAACATGATTAATAAACATTAAAATCAATCATTTTACATTTAAAACCGCCTATCATGTAATTTCAGACAATTAATCAATAAGTATTTTGTACCTTAACAAATTAACATGATATTATGGGTATGAAAATGAAGGATTACCCTATTATACATAAATTGGAAATATTTTGAAAGTATTTAGTAAGGGTATTAAAAATGAGTGCAAATTGTGTAAGCATGTAGCAGTAAGTGTATTTATACAAAACCTATGTTGATCAACAACTTAACTTCAAAATTTTTTTCAGTTAAAATTTTTAGGTTAAACTATCATGACTTTTGACTGAGAAAGCCCTGCCCAAACAATGTGTACCATCTGATGACCAGAGCAGGATAGTCAAACAGAATATGTATTGCCGTCTCCTTGTCACCTTGTGTAGATTCAAATATAGGAGTCCAATTTACCCAGCTTGCGCAAGTGATATTTTATCGGACATAGCCAGCAATAGCATATAAACTTTTACAATTATCACAATACTCGTATAACAATGAAAAATAACTAGCCGGTAATAGCATGAATCCGGATACGATCCATCCCAGGCAGTTTTGAGGAGAACTTCCTTGAGCAAGATAGAAAGAACAGTTCGCATGATGACATTACACAGTAGTCTCCCAGCGAAGATTCAATCTCAAAATTATTGTAAATCTTTTATATTTCATTTTAAAACCATAGCAAAACTTTCCTTTTAATTTCAGTCTTTGATTTAAAATAATAATGTTTTTTAAATTTCCTTCAACATTTCGAATTGATAAAAAATTCACTGACATTTACGCAAAACATGCAATTGTTGAAAAAATTTGAGTTTTATTAAAAAAACTTGAACAAAACAGAAAATAACTTTAATGATAATTTTTCTAATTTTTCTAAGCGAAACTTCCCTTCGCTATTCGTTTGTAAATGGGAGGTATTTGCTCAAGACTATTATTTTTTCTCGACTGTTCTTTCAATTTCTTAAATTTGTCTCTTTCTAAAATTTTTAGAAAAAATAAATAAAGCGAAAGAGACTCAACAAATTGTTCCTACGTTCTATGTTATGCTTATTTTTTTGCAGTTCTTGATTTGACACTTCATTAATTATAGCGTTTGATTCGGTTTTCCATTTTCTTATTTTGGTAAATTCAATGAAAAATAATAATGTGCTTTTTTTTACTACAAACCTTTCTTTTATCCCGAAGAATATCGAATTATTTGCAAAATCAATAATTCGGTAGATTCCAAAAATTAATATTTTCCCTTCACTTTTTACATAAAAAAGTCTTAATGAGGCTTTTAAAAAAAATTATTTATTAATTTTTTTTTAAATCACTATTTAGGCGCAGCTTAAACGTTCAAAACTTTTATTATTCGTTTTCTTTCACTTATTTTATTTCTCATTCTACGCGCTCGCTAATTCGTGTTGGATTTATCTAAGAACTAACAATGAAATTAGAAAACTACTCGTACTTCTATGTTAAAAAAACAAAATAATCACAAAAATATTCATTTCGTTTTTCTAACTTTTAAAGTGCGTATTTTACACGGAAACATAGGAGGCGAAACAATCGAAATTCCAATTCTACTTTGATATTTTATCTACTTAATTTACGAAATATTTATTTTTCTTAACTAATCTTAATCACGTATTTATTATATTAGTGTTTCTTTCATGTTATAAATTTAACTAAATCTATCTTATAATCGGCATCAACTTAAAATCGCGGCTAAATAAAATAAAAACACGATTTTAAATTCAAAGAAATACAAGAAAAGTTAATTTTCTAAACTTTTTTCTACAAAATATTTTTTTTTTGCTATGGTTTCTCACCAATTACAAATTAGTAGACTAGCTGGCGGTAATATACAGAAGTAGAAACTAAATATTTAAAAAGTAATCTAATAATTCAATGATCACAAAAAAATATAAAAAAAAAAAATTATTTATTATTAAACGCTTCAATCGCCCATTATGGATCAATTCTAAAAAAAAAAAAATTTATCAATTTAAATACAAAAGTCGCGTGAGAAATAAATTTTCGTATAGATTGGCCAGATTGCTTTAAGAAAAATAAAAAAAAAAAAAAGATGAAAATTATATTTAACCTTAATAGCAATTAAAATTAACTGATGTATATAATTAATAAATAAAATAAATAGGTATACAATAAATTTGAAGATGCTATATTTAAATTTAATAATCGCCGAATATTCGCCGAATTTTGTACAAAAAAAAAATTATATATAAAATCATTTTTTAATTTATATGACCTGGATTTTTTTAAAGGTGTTGCCTTCTAAAAAATAATAATAGACATAATAATAGCACCACGTATGTCTGTTCAATATGTAGACTACGATTAATGTCATTATTGTTGCTTTTCCTCGCCCCTATACCTGTATAACACATTTAAACTCTAAACTAAAGTAAATTGTTTTTTGTTGCTTTTATGAAAATCCGGAAGTTTTAATATTATTATTATTTAAACGTTTTTAATTTCATGGAAATTATTGGAAATATTCTAAAATTTCAATTTTTAAATTTTTATGTATTTCTGTTATAATTGTGGTATATACCACAATACTCGTGTATTACAAATACCATACAATAAAAAAAATCATTTGAAAAATTAAATCAAAAAGAGATTGAAATTTTAACACTTTATTAAAAATTTTTAGAGTGAAAATTAAAAATTATTAATATTTTAAAATTTAATTATTAAATTAGAGAACAGAATAGAGTAATAGTAAAAAGGTTTTATTGGAATTATGTTATGTGGAAGTATTTCAAGATGAGCATTGTGATACATAGAAAATCCAAGTACATCTTGCGTTTTTCATTTAATTAGAAGGTTTTTCCTGAAATGTGATTTTT